AAAACTCCACGGATTTTGGGTTTTGCTCCTCCCCATCACCTCCCAGAGTGTAAAAAAATCGATGGAGCCTAAAGAGGTGAATTCTCTGATCTGTGAACGTGGCGTTTTAATAACAGTTTGTGTTAATTAGAGAGTTTAAGGGTTTGTAAATTGAAAAGTTGGGTGATTTCAGCAAATCCAGTGGGTGATGCCCAAAGGCTCCATCTCAACTCTAATAAATGTAATTTCAAGGGAAAGGAAGGAAGAAAAGAGGGAGGGAAAAGGGTGGAGGAGAAAAAGGAGCCAATTTATGGAGCTGTGATTTCAGGGAAGCCCCCAAAGCCCCTCACCCACCTCGGGGAGAAGCTGCCGGGGGAGAAGAGTCCGTAGGGGCTGCGGGACGACGGCGTCCGCTTGGGCCGGGGCGTCTCCGGGGTGGAATTGCTGCGTTTCTGGGAGCCCTGCCAGGGAATTTTCACACAACCAGMACATTTCCAGGCTGGCTTTAAGGCAATTCCTGTGGATTTGGGGCTGTGCTCACCTTGGATGGGGTGGTGTAGGCGTCCAGCAGCTCGTCCTCCCCTTCCTCATCGAGGCTGATGTTTGTTAAGGGGCACCAACGCTCCTGGTTTGGGGTGAATCCCCCTCSAGACCCCCAAACCCAACAATTCCTCCCATTCCCTGACTCCACTGGGGATCTGTGACACCTCATCACCCGTTTTTCTGCCAGAATTCCCTCAGGATTCAGGATACAGCTCCTGGAGCGAGTGGATGTCGTGCAGGAKTCCCCGGCGCTCGTCCCTCCCGCGCTGGCTGCGGCTGCTCCGCTTGGAAAGGACCTGGGGCAGCAGAACAGGGCAGGATGAGGGGTCCCTACCATTCCCAGGGGGATTTGGGGGGCAGGGAGGAATCGGGGAGCCCTCACCTCGTGCTCGAAGGCGTCGAGACCGTCGGGGGTGAGCTGGAGGTCGAGGTCTTTGCTGGTGACAAAAGCCAGCAGCTCGTTGGCCAAGGCCACCGGGCCCAGCCCGTGGCTCAGGCACAGCTCCACCACTGCGGGGAAAAAGGGGGTTCAAGAGGGGTCCAAATCCCACCGAGAYCCCCCTCACACCTCTGGGTATCTCACAACAACCCCTGCGTCCTTCGTGCCCCCCAAAA